AGGATAAGCTGTTAACTTTCCACATAACTGAAAACAAAAAGAATAAAGGAAATTCCAATCAACGTTAAGTATTAAATTTATATTCAAGTGCTTAATTTCACTAAAATTTTTCCCCCATAAAAAAGAAATTATTCAACTGATTATAATAGAAACTGTTTAGTCAATTGATGCCCAGATTACCTGTATGGAAACACAGGTATTTTTACCATTACCATATATCACACTTCTTTCTATGTAAGGAAAACTATTTGAAAAAAATGAGAAATCAGACATTTCTTCTCCTCCTCCTAAAGAATACAAAAAGTGTAATGGGTGGACTTTATTTCACTTAAAATAAAGTACACCCATTACAATAGTAATATTATAACCAGCTCTCCCATCATATTGTCGCAGAGAGAGTCACGCTAATCAAAATTGTTTGTATATTAGACAATAATTTCAAAAATAAATAAATGCATTTAATATCATTGAATACTGACCTAAACCAGTGTTTCTAACATAAAACATGTAGTTCATCTGTAACAGTAAGAAATGCATCTAAGGCAGGACAGAGAGACTCTTACAGAACCCAGCCTACTTCTAGGTGATTTTGAATTATTGTTTTCCTAGATTTCTTACATTAAACCAGAGAGGGGGGTGGATTTTCAACTACTTCAAGCCATCAACATTGAATGGAACGAAGACTTCTTGTGTAAAATAAAAAAGCAAATTGGAAAGTTCAGCCACAAGGCTAAAACATTTATAAGATATGAAAGTGAAAACTTATTCCATACTTATAATCTATATTATATATTTTATCTATTTGTTACTTATTTCCCAACTAGTGATTTGTTATTAAAACCAAAGTCTAATATTTTATTATTTTGGGTATGTCCTTTCTTCCAATGCCCACCTGCAAGGAGAATACATTCATATTAACCCATTTATACATAACACCTAATTAGTTGGACAGGGTTTTAATCAGCTTCGGGTACCAAGCCTAATACATATTTTCATAATTTAATGAAGAGTTCCAACTCTTTTGTTACAATACAATAAAACCCTAGCCCAGTGGTTCCCAAACTTTTCTTTTTCTCTAGGCTGCATTTTCAGAATTAAATTTTGCTCATGACTCAAACTTTGTGATAAAAAGTACATTTAAAAAAACAAGAGGTTAAAGAGAGATAACCATGGATTCAAAGTCAGAATATTATCATTGATAACTCTCTCCTATAATTTGCAGACCCTAGTTACTATATTAATATTTGCATAAATATCACAATGATAAAATCAGTGAATAATTATTTGTAACTATTTAAACTGGGACTAATGCATGCAATTACAAGTAATCCATAATATTTAAAATTTTTAAAGCATTTATTTTTTTTTATTTTTTTTAAAACTGTTTCTAAATCTTTGTCGTTCAATCAGTCCACCTCACCTGCTATTCTCTCCCACAGTACCTACGAGGCATGCTGCACCATTTGGGAACCACTCCTCTAGCCTAATGCAGTTATCAGAAAACTGCAGCCTAGTTTGGACTTGAGAATCGCACATCTAATTCCATGAGGAAAATTATGTGTATGAAAATTTGTTTTTTGCTTTGTTTTCTCAGATTCTCATCTATAACCACATGACATTAATTGCAATGCCACCAGCAATTTTTACTAAAGAAGATCACACGTGTAAATATCTTTTACTTAAGAAACAAGAGATATTCACAACTTTTCTATGGAGAAGAAATATGTTCTTTTTCTTTTAAAAGAACATTTTTTCGTATGCTCAAATTATAAACAAATCACCTTTAATGGAAGGTCCACAATCACATTGTCAACAATGATAATGTTACCAAATATTTTCTATAATAAAAAAAAAAAAAAAAAAAAAAAATTGATATTTTGGTTAAAAAACATTCCCAAGGAAGAAGTTTTCATATGCGGTCTTCTTTAGTGAAAATGGCTGAGGTAGCTGCAATACCTTTAGTCTTTTTTTTGTAGTAGTAGTAGTAGTAGTGCAGTTTGCCTCATGATGAGGCCATATCTCATGCGACCCACTAGTTGGAGAAGGTAACCTGGTCTAATATATTAGGCTTGGTGCCTAGAATTGATTAAGACTATATCCAAGCATTTGCCCATCATTCATAAATGGTTTCAGATTTTATTAAATAACAAAAACCTTTATCTTTGATCATGCATGTAAATGGATTTGTATAGAAAAAAAGAATATGAATCTATCTATAAACCCAAATAATGTGGAGCCTTTGAAAAAATATTAAGATCGTATTTACAAAATTTGAAAATAAATTAAAAAAATAAATAAATAAATAAAAATAAAATAAAAATAAAAACATAGGTAATGAGAAAAAGTACATTAGAATATAAAATACACATAACATTATTATACATAACAATGGAAATAAAACAAAAAAAAAATTAAATTAATACGACTGATTTCTTCCGTAATCATTCAAATTACCACTGATTATCAATGCAAATAATAATTGGTTTAATATTGTCTGAAATTTTTTAGATTAGTTATTAACATTACAACTTGTTGAGACTAATATTCTCAACCTTACTGCATTTATTTCATCATAAAGACATTCTTAGATTGCCAATGAGGAAGGCTAAAGAGCATATCAACCAAAATCTAGTGATAAAAAAAAAAGGATGAGAACAGTTTGAAACAAAAAAAAATAATAATCATGGAACAACAACAATAAACAAAATATAATATAAAAAATACAAAAATATATAATGTAAAATTATACAAAAAAAAATAAAAAAAAAACAGCAATTTCTTACTAATATATCACATGGCTTGCTAGAAATTTTTTACACATCACTATTTTTCTTCAAACTAATACAAATGTTAGATCATGCTAATTTTTTCTTCAAACTAATACAAATGTTAGATCATTTAAATTTCATTTAAAATCTATTTTGCAGTGTAACTTTTGGTGAAATTATTCAAGACACAGAGAGAGAGAGAGAGAGATAGACATGAAATTGACATTTTAAATACAAAAATACAGTAATTGAAATATACCATATTAGGAAATTATATTAAAAGATATTAAAAAAAATACACAAAATATGAAGAACTAAGGTTGCTTTGAAAGTAATGCCTCTTATTTTATTAAGCTTGCTCATGACACCAGAGGTGGATTGTAACAACAGTAGAAGTTGACCTTCCAGCCAATGTATGTCTTTTTTTTTTTTCTTTATAACCTTATAGATTGGAGTTTTGGAAAATGGCATGTGACATGAAAGTGTGTACAAAGCAGAGGGATATCACTGAAATCCTCAATGCTGAAAAAAATTCAGTGATGCTATTTGCCTAACAAACAGTCAATCTGAGTACAGTTAGGTGATGGGTAATGCATTTCAGAGACAAATACTGGATAACCCCTTTGCAACACAAAAAACAACAGAGCCTTAAGAAAAAAAATAATGGAGATGATGATACAGAATTTTTTTTGTTTTTAAATAGCTGTGTTCAGCAGTGTTATTTCGTAGTTATTATTATATCTGTGGCAGATTCCATGGAAATAAATAAGAGGCATTAATTTCAAAGCATCCCTTGTAATCAGAAACTTTTCCTTTTTTTTTTTTTATTATTTGTCAAATAAAAATTTCCATTTACTGTCTGGAAAGAAAGTTCTCATTTTGTTTTTGTCCCAAACTTTGTTAAATAAAAAGTTTGGATAATTTGCTTTTTAAGCCCTGCACTAATTATGTAATAAAAATTGGCAGAATAGTTATATTTAGGTGCAAATTTACATGCTTAATTCGAAAATAATGAAGAAATTGATAAAAATCTACCGTTTTGGAGTTATCGACAATAAAAGTTCGGACTCATTTCCATTACGGCATGGCAGCCATTACTGGCATTGTTTTCATAAATTAGCTGCCAATTTTTAGCAAGAGATTAAATTGTTAACGGCCTTTTTACGGTTTTTATTTGATTCAGCATGCGCAATAATCAAGATTGTTCTGCAGCAAATATATGCAAACAAACGCCAATAATGGTTGCCACAGCACAAATGAATCCAAACTTCTATTGTCGATAACTCCAAAACGGTAGATTTTATCAAAATTTCTTTATTTTTGAATTAAGCATATACATTTACACCTAAACATAACTTGGGTAAATTTTTATTACATATTTAGCACTGGGCTTAAAAAGTAAATTACCCAAAACTTCTATGCATATATAAACTTGTTAATTCTGGGCTATTTTTTTTTTTTTTTTTTTATCATTACATTTTCTCATAATAATCACATTGTTTTACATACTATGACTCAAGTGTTCATAGGTGGAATAAGAATGATCTTGAAAAGAAAATCAACCAAATTTAGTATTGTTTCTCACTCCCGCACATACACTCTCACTGAAATTTAGTTTTTTTTTTTATGCCCAGAGTTATATTTTCTGTGTTCTTTTTGAATTTGTAGGCCTGATGAATTGGATCGTGATTACGATTCCAATGTAATAAATTATAATCATGGAATATTAGTGTTTGAGCCTTTTATATTATATTCTTGCTTTGTCTTGTACATAGAACTATCTGGAATTTATCCTCTTCGAATATATATATATATATATATATATATATATATATATATAAATAAAAAAAAAGCAGTACATTTATGGTATGAAATGTGTTTCCAATGGTAATCGTTATTATGAGACAGAAGTAGTAATAAAAAAAAAAAAAAAAAAAACAAAAAAAAAACAATACACTATGTCCCATAATTGTTGCCCTATTGTATATAAATTTAACAACTATCATGGGACAGAAGTATTATTTTTAATATTAACTAATCAGATTGTAATTTTCAAAATGAGAAACCGCTTTGCAGACCAACTCGCAGAATGGTAGATTTGTAAAGGGTGAAAACAAATCTACCAACAAAAGAATTATTTGCAATAAAGTAAATAAATTTTTTTAACATAAAAAAAAAAAAAAAAAAAAAAAAAAAAGGTTTAAACAAAACCTGGGAAAGAACAGTTCTTACCAGCATAGACCAAGCCACCTGAAAATAGATTTTCGTCAGAAGAGAAGAGAAGAAAAAAAAAAATTAAATTCTAATTTTTTTTTGTCGTTTAAATTTAAAAACAAAAAAGTCACAATATCTGAAAAAAAAAAAAAAAAAAAAAAAAAAAAAAACAGCATCAAGTACAATTATTTCTTAAGCTTATTACTTTACAATAAATACAAGCAAGGCTACCTTAAATTTCTCAGGACAACTACTAAGACTCTGGTGTAATAAATAGGTCGAGCAGTGACAGAACAATTAATAAAGATACTCATGGCCAACCAGTATTATACACCCCCACATATCACATAACCAGCTGAATTCTAACAGGCCAATATAGTGTAAACAAAAAAAATGTAAATGGCCGCTTAGAAAATTGCTAATCTAAAGGGGAGGTAACTTTAAAAATTGAATTCTTAATTCTACAAATTAACGTACAATTACATAGAATTTATCAGACGTTATTTCAATTCCTTAGACATGTTTTCAACACCAAAATGCATATTTACACCACCCATCTTTTTTTTTTTTTTTTAAACTAATCCACGAATTATAAATGGCTGTAAGTTACCTCGTTTTACGATTTTCAATTGTGTATATGGCCAGTTTTGCAAACAAACGCTATTAGGTAAATTTTCTACCTTATAGTCAATTGCATTTTAAAAATTAAATTATAAAGTCTGTTATGATATTTTGTTTAACAAAAATGGTTAATAAATGTGTTGCATTTGGCTGTTCTAGTGGATATGTTACTAACAGGGAAAAATTATCAACATTTTCTTTTCCTCTTGGAAAATCTGACCGTCTAAAAAAATGGATAAAATTTGTTAATCATATTGATTGGTTTCCTACAAAAAATTCAGTTCTCAGTATGAAACATTTTAAGAGAAATTTATTTTGAAAGGAAAATGAAACTGAATTGAGATTTGCATCCAATACCCACAATACATTCAGAAAAATTAAGAAAACTATCTCTTGCCAAATACAAGGGACTTCAGGGCCTCCAAAACAACGACTGGTTGAAACTGATGAATTACATGATTTTATTTCAGCTGATACGATAAAGGATTTTACTCAATTGGAAGAAGCAAAGTGTTGTCCTAATGGTTTTGAATTAAAAAAAAAAAAAAATAAATAAAAATATTAGATTATATTTTAATTTATAGAATAGCCTTTGACCCTGAAATACATTTTCCATCTATAAAAGAATGTATTTGCATTGACCAAAACTTTCATGTCCAACTCCAGTGCAATGGAACCCCTACACCATTACCACAGTGGTTTATACATGGACATAATGCTAAACTCACAAGATTTAGCAGGTTAGAAAATTTTACAAATTACATGCAAAATGTGGTGGAAGAACAATCAGACTTAATTCTAAAAGAATTACAAAAAAAAGACAAGATTACAAAGTAAGAATCAGTCCTTCATTTTCTGCAGAACTAATACGTTATGCCTCACTACTGCACTATACATCTCAACATGCCTATAAATTACTTCTAGTGAAATTTCCATTACCATCTTTTTCTTTATTAGAGAAAATTGAAAAAAATTAAATATTTTCAATGTGAAATGTGTTCCCTGGTCATGGTAGGCAATGATAGTGATGATACTACAGAGAAGCAGCACTTTGACTTAATTTCTCAAGGAGGTCTTACAGTTTCACCAAGCCAAATGGCAGAGTTCGTTTGTGCTTATTTTGCTGTACTTGATTATGCAGATAAATTTATTGTAAAACATAACGAATCCACTGCAAGAGTATCTGCTGAAAGAATTTTGGGAACTTATTCTCCAAAATATGGTTTTACTTGTGAACAAAACACTAAAAAAAGGAATTCACTTTGCAGCAAAAATTGTTTTGAATATATTTTACAACAACAAAGTTTCCATCACATGAAGTTTGAAAAATAATTGTAGAACGTTTTCAAAAAAGGCAAAGGTCAAAAGAAAAGTGATTTATAGAGAAACTGTTGGTAAGTTTTTTTCTTTGTTTTTTTTTTTTTTTTTTTACTTGTATTTGTTTTTGTATTATTGCTTAATTCTTTAATTATTTTTTTTTGTTTGTTTACAATCTTTTATTATTACTTTTCTATTTTAAAAAAGAGAAAAAAAACTATTTTTGGATGGTTTTAACATGTTTTAGATAAAAGACATAAATTGACCATAAACCAAATAGGCTTGTTAGAAATTAGCCTGAAATGCCACATGTGGGGCTGAAAATATTAGTGGGCCGTGAGATACCACTAAACATGAAAAGCAAGAGAACAATCTACCCACATGAATAAAATGTTCAATTAGAAATTCCCTAAAAGGGTTATCCAGACTTAACAGATACCTAAATGTCTGGGGGAGAGGGGTTTACAAAATGAAGAGATTAGTTCAGCTGTAAACAATAACTCCTCATCCCAAAAATTCAGATATACAAAAAATAGAAAGAAAAAATTCCATTAGCTTTGCCCACCCCTAAATCAAGCATCAGTCAAGTCACTATATATACAATTGAACTATTTGAATAAAACATAATAAATACCAATGCATTTGCACATTAATAGTAGTAGTAAGACAGTTTTTCCTCTCCAACAGTGGATAGTTCCTTGAACACTACAATCTAAGCTTCTTTAAGCCGAGAGTCAATCTATTCCCCTTCTTCCATTCATCACCTCCTTTTATATTTAGAAACCCTCTATCATGTATGGCTCTTGTGCCTTGTAACGTGTGTGTGTGTGTGTATACGTACATATCAAAATTTTGGGGCCACCTTCTAGATTTCAAAAGAATTGCCTAAAAACTACTTTACTAGCTCACTTCAGGATAGAAGGACTTTCTCTTACCGAGGTATTTTATCACATATTCAATAACGAAATTAACCCTTTACTGCATAAAGGGTCCTTAAAATTTTAGCTCTTTTTGTCTAATCTACTTAGGGCTGGCAGATTTTAAATTTTAGATAAATCTCACCTCTATAATAAAAAAAATAAAAAAAAAAAATTTGCACCAAAGTGTTAAATAGTTTGAGCATCCTTGACGAGTAGGAGTTAGTTAAACCAAAGGCAGCATGAAAGTAACTAATTATTACATCCAGAGGGTGGACCCAAAACTTTGGCCTAGTGTGTGTGTGTGTGTGTGTGTGTGTGTGTGTGTGTGTGTGTACACACATATTATACAAATAAATAAAAAATATAATCTATTTTTGCACTTACAACCCCCAAATCTTTTGCATGGAGATTAGTTTTGAGAAACAAAAAAAACATTTTGAAAAGAATAATACACTAGAACAAAAAAGAAAGAAAAAAGTTAAGGAAAGGAAAAAAAAACAAAAAATTCTTCCCTTTCCTTTAGTGAAAACCAACCTTGCATCCTTGGTGGTCCTCCCATTTGGCCTGGTCGAGGTTGTGGAGGTGCTGATACTGAAGCTCCCCGACCCTGAGGAGTCATCATTTGTTGAGAGGGGCCACCCACACCCCGTACAGGTCCCTGCAATCCAGGAGCTGCCCCTGAACTTCCAGGAGCTGCAGGAACTCCACGACCAGCAGCTCGTCCCATTCCATGACCTGGAGCGGCACCAGCCAATGGCACTCTGGCAATTCCCTCCTAAAGTAAAAATAAATATAAAATTATTTTTCAAAAATGAAATAAATTTTTTTTTTTTTATTTCATCAAAAACTGAAATATTTTTTATTTATTCTTAAGTGCCTAATATAATTGGGGATGGTGAAAGCTTTTTTTTTTTTTTTTTTTTGTAAGCAATAAATTGCTAATAGCCCCTGAAGAATGGATGGAGAGGTCTGCCTACAAAACCCTGCAGTTGGAATGTTGAAGGTAACATCCATCAGCTAAGTGACAATTTTTTTTTTTACTCACATTAATCTTATATTTTATGCCTTTATTTAAAACAAACATTTTCAAACTGTAACAATAATTCTTTCTTTTGTAAGTAAATATTGTGTTAATTTTTTTTAAAATGCGATGTTGTGAAAACGTATTCCTAAAATTCGAGTAGGAATACGTTTTCGCAACATCACCCACGTGACGACAATGTGATCATATTTAAATGGAACGCTGATCTTATAAAAGATTTCAGTTATCTGTTTGGGTTGGTATTGCTTTTATGTCCATCGTCTTTTTCATGTTGAATTGTATATGGTCTATGTTAATTATGTTTTATGAATATGTCCTGAAGATGGTCTATTAGACCAAAACGTTCGACAATGACATTAAACATTAAAACAGCATAATCGTATATTAGGATTTTTGTTTGTTTTTTTTTTCCAGTATATTTTCTTCATACTGTCGGATTTATATCCATATATTTGCTTACACACATATACATATATATATATATAAAAAATTTTATCATATAGACAAAAACAGTTTACTCACTACAAAGATGCAACTTCGTATTGGTGTATTTCAACTGCAGCTCAATCAAAGTATTGGATTAAGTGCAATGACAATGAAAGAGATTACAACAAGACCTCACTTAATGAGTTACCTGTTTGAAGATCAACCCAGAATTATAACCAGTTGTAAGATCTCATTAAAGAAAAGAAAAAAAAAAAAAAAGATCCAACTAGTCGGTATCATGCATTGTACGAAAACTGATGAGAATCATTTTCTTCCCCTCTTAAAATAAATTGCTGTTGCATCTTTCTAGAAAGATTTTTCAGTTGCGATCAGTTTATTATGATGCTATTGATGCCTAGGAAACAAGCAATGGAACCGTCAGAAGAGTTCAGATCTAGTTGTTTTAGAAGAAGCAAAATAGAACAAAAGAAGTTGTATATTAAAATATAGTCATAAACAAAGGAATTGACTATAGTCAGGATCATTGAGTCAATGCGAACGATCCTTTCCATAGACACATAATGTGTTTTGACAGGACTATATAGTTTTGAATTCAGAGTTTTCATTCTCCTAAACTAGTTGCCACCCAAGGTTATAGAACCCAGTCTGTCCTACTACTTACCCATAGATAGGAAAGAGAAGAGTTGGATTCATACCTTTCCCAAGGGTTATGTAATGAACTCGACTGTAATTCTAACTCTTCTCTCAGATTCCCTAATTCAAATCACAATCAATTTCTCCACCATGTCTCCATAACGACAATATTGACAAAAGTAACAAAGCTAGAATACTGAGGAGAGTGCTGAAGTATTGGGGTGGTGACTTGATCGCCAATGATTGGCACAATGTACAACTGTCATGAAAACCCAACAAGAATAAAATAATTAGTTTGAAAATGCATAATATGCCAGAAATATCGGCCAACTTAATGACTGGGTCATTGGAACAGAACCCAGTCATTAAATGAGAAAAAAATTTGTGAGGTAAGATAATTTTTGCTTTCATCATTAGGTTAACAGGTTTCAGGGGATACAATTGTAACATTCATAAACAGAAAGAAAAATATTAAATAAAATATACTGAAGAGGTCATAGATAACAACTTGCTTACATTAAATATGACAAGTTGAAAGGCAATATCAACTCTAGGAGACAAAAAAAAAAAAAACTTACCTCAGCGGGAGGAGGACCTTCAACAGTCATTGAAACCAAATGTTCTCCACGCAATAAAACTAAGCCTAAAACTCTTTTTTCTTCTCTTTCACCTTGTTTGCTACTTTTGGGCTTAATTTTTCGAAACTCATCACAATCCCCAAGTATCAAGTTCATGTGTTTATCGAAAGCTTTGAAAGTCCCAATGAATATCCGTCCATCCTGCAGAGTACATCGTACTCTGTAGTTGATGTGTTGAAGCATCTTTGAGCTTTTGCCCACCGTCTGCAAAAGAAAAGAAATTTATTTTACTTCATTTTTTTTTTTTTTTTTTTTTTTTTTAAAAAAAAAGAAACAAAATCCCTTTCTATTAAGATATAAAGAAAAAATTAAAACTTATGCTTAATTAAATCTAAAATTTTTTTATTTCATCAAAGTAAGTATTGTCACCAACTTTGGAAGTGGGTAGGTGGAAGAGATGCATTTAAATTCTCAGCCTTCCAAAATAACTTCTTAAGGCAACCTTTAAATATTAAAAATTACCCACCAAAATAGGGGTCGTATAAGCCTGTGGTGTATCAGCACTGGTAAATAGGCTAGTATGCTGGCACCATGAGATTGATTTCGCATTAAAATGCAATATTCAAGAGAGGATTATAACAATTTGCAAAAGTTCTGCTGAGCAACACACACAGGTAATTTCTACTGGAAAACATACACTAGCCTACATTTTCAGTTGTCTTATACTACAGATATCAAATAAAATCACAAAAATTTACCTAGGTTTTGGGTCTCATCTTATATACAGGTCACCTTATATATATATATATACATACACACACACAATATATACTTGCGTAATGCAAGATCTTGCGTATTATGCAACTCCCAAATTTTCACCTATAAAAATGTTTTTATCACATATCTTGGTATCATGTGAGTTCCTTTTTACGAGAGACCAAATTACAATAGACTAACCTCTTTATCCCATCTTCTAGCTAAATAAGTTAAAAAAGTAAAAGAGAATGATAAAAGTATCATTAGTAATGCAATATTTGTTGCATAAATGTATACAGCATAGACGCCAGTGCTGATCAGCCAAACAGCTTGTAAATGTAAATAATGGAAGAAGCTGCATAATTGCTATATTTGTATTTTATAATACGATACTGACATGGGAATATTACACGCATTATTATTGGATAAAGTTAATTAAAGCATTAGTTTTACCAAAATCATGTTTATTTTAAATACAGCTGTACTTTTGACTACAGTAAATGAACATATATTTTGGTCAACAGCATAGTAAAGGCCAGCAGTACATACACTAATTTTATATCTTGTATATGATGCAAACCCCTTAAAATAGCTTCAAAAGTCACATAATACACGTATAATATATATATATATATATATATATATATATATATATATATATATATATATATATGAATAAAATGACAATAGGAAAACTGGTAATTGCTGCGCGTTTTCGTCCAATGTGGACTTTATCAAAGCAAAATACGAAAATGAAATTAATTGAACAAAGTAATAAAAACAAAAACAGAATGTACCTAGCATTAATCGGAGAAATTTTCATATTATATATATATATATATATATATATATATATATATATATATATATATATATATATTTTCACACATACACATACACACACTGGGTGAGACAAAAGTTGTATACCATAGGGGTTAATCATGTTTTGATATTTTCTTATTTTTCAGAACCAATAGGTCACCAGACTTCACAGCTTGAAATTTTTTTTTTATTAAAATTACACATGAAAATTTTTAACATATTGGAGAGTTTCCTCTGTCATTTTACTGCATTCATATTTAATTCTTTTTTTTAGCTCCTCAATATTTCTTGAGCACATCTGATAACAGAGTTCAAATAGCTGCACAGAAAGAAAAAGAATCCAATGGTGTGAGATCTGGTAACCTCAGTGATCACTTAACAGGCCCTATCAAAACAGATTAGACATTTAAAACACAATTAACTCCTATGGTGCATGACTTTAGCCCCACCATGTGTGTAATATAAGTCTAGGATGGTGCTCTCAAGCCTTGAGTGGCAACCTTCCTAGAGATAGTACCTACATACAAAATACTCAATGTACTTGGACTACCGTGAGTGTCTGAGTAGGGAATCACGAAGGGCATCCAGATTTGTAAAACCTTGCCTCAAATTATTGACACATCTCAATATGCTGTCGGGCATATGAGGAGAGATAAACCAAGACCATCTATCAGGCACAACCCTTCTTGGTTTGTGCAAGATTAATCCAGATCCTGACTATAAAAAAAAAAAAAAAAAAAAAAAAAAGGCTATGATTTTAAATCAATAAGTATCTTTCTCGATGGAAATATAAGTGCATCTTAAGAATGAATTCTGCCCAAAGTTAAGAAACCTCTTTTATTTGCAAATAAAACATTGGGGATTGTCAGGAAAAGTTGTACGAGCTTAAATGTTTCAAACAGCCAACAAAACCCAGTTTATGAAGTAAGTCTAAATGGCATTGCTTGATTTGAACTTTTTAAAGTCATCACCATTATATAAATATTTGCACTCATTTACTAAGGATAAAAATTTTACAGTATTTTTGCTGAAAAGAATTTAAATATTGCATGAAGGATTCATGAGCAAACATTTCAAACTTTTTTTTTTATATCAAGTAATTCCAAATATAAAAATTTCTTCAGATGAGCAAATCACTTCTTGAGTGACAGTAAAAGGTTTTAAAATACAAGCTTTTTTCTTAGTGCCTCAACCGCATAAATTTAACCAGGATACTAAATTGGCAACTCTATTCAACTGACTCATTTATTCCAAGTTCCTTTACCCACTTCCCTGCTCTTCTCGCCCGTGGAACTCCCTTCTGGGTTCTTGCTTCCCTGCCATCTACAATTTTCAAGAATTTAAACAACACTAATCAACATCTTTTGTCTTCCTGAAACCTGTTCTTTTATTGTCCTTTTCTCATTCTGTTTCACTCTCTATAGTACCTGGTTGCATTAAAGTCTAGTTTGGGGAGAAAAGAAGCAAGGAAAATCAACACAAATTAGAATTACCAGATTGGGAATTTTTTTCTTAAATAGATTTTATTCCTTAGTCCATTGTTTTTCTTTTTTCTTCTTATAAGTAAAAATATTATTGGATGGTATTCATCCAAGAGGTTAGGAGGAACTGTGAGGGGAGAGAAATCAAGTCTCGGCTAACAATTCAAAGATGCAAGTTTTAAAACCCATGGCTTCCAAAAGGTTATTTTGTTATTACTTAAGCATTAAAAAGAAAGAAACTTTCAAAAAGGTTTCGCCAGAAAAAAAAAAAAAAAAAAGTCAGTTCATGGTGCATTCACTGTCCCCTGGTTCTTTTTGTGTTAGGAAGGTCAACATCATTTTTTAAATGTTCAATGTCTGCCATTGTTTCTTGAACAGGGTTTTCATCATAATAAATTTTGACATACTTAAAAAAAAAAAAAAACACTCATTTTATCAAGCTACTTATACTGTACAATATCAAATAAGGTCCTCAGCCTGTAACAGTATTGTATAAAAAACAGTAAATTTATTTAAGTGAACATTTCACATTAAAAAAATGAAACTGGTGAATTCCTTGAGAGATGGAATTAAAACCAATCAGGATGTTTTACATTCTAATTTTGATCTGCCCAAGTCACAAGTTAGAAATAAACAAACATTCTGTTGAGATATTGCTCTTTCATTTAAAACAGACATGACAGTTTGGTTATAAGGACTCATTAAGTGAAGTTACCAAGATTTGATATTTCAAAAAAAAAAAAAAAAAAAATTCACTTCCTTAGGTGTGATATACAGACATATAAGAAAAATCACTCCATTACTTTACAGCAGGATCAGATTGTTCAAACTAAGATGGTGTTGAATGGCTAGTCACTATTATAAATTTCCTGCATGCAAAACGTGCAATCTTCAGGCAACCAACAACAGTCACTGGAAGCCACTGGGTATTCTTTCTGGGTGAACCTAAGTTTCTAAACCTCAGATGCTAGCATTTATACATTTACTGGAGATACAAGCCCAAATCTGTAAGGAGGAAGGCACAAATGCATTGCAAAAGATGGTAGAACCCTAGTGTTAATGGTTGGCAAAGATGTTAAAGTCAACCTTGAGGGGAAAGAAAAGGGATATGGCCAGAGCATCAAAATACATATTCTTCATGTGCATAAAAAGTACACCACTGTATTAGAAATATAATATTTCCATACAGAAACAGTTATATTTTTTTCCCATACAATTGCCAAAGTTAAGCAATGTTGAGCCTGGTCAGTACCAAGATAGATGACCACTTAAGGAATACCAGGTGCTACTACCTTAGACGTGCAAGTAGTTTACAGGGCTTACAGCCACATCACTTAGAAACACCAGTCCCTGTATGGTCACCAAAGTTAAGCAATGTTGAGCTTGGTCAGTACCTAGATGGGTGACTGCCTGGGATTACCAAGTGATGTAAGCTTGGATATGCAGTGGAAATGGCTCTGAATTGTTAATTTATAAGTAAAAAAAAAAATTTTTTTGTTTAGGATTTTATCAAGTTTATGTATAAACTTTCTTTTTATGCATTTGCTTCATTTTACTCTATAATAAAACAATGGCCAAAATTTTTCTGAAGAAAGCAGCATCCCCATTAATTTTATCCATGACCTGCCACTACGTACAAATCCAAATTACCAAAATATGCATTCTTCATGAGATGCAGGTAAAATGATTGGTTCCCTGTCCCGCTCCAGTAAGTATCTGACTCCACTACTTTTATAAGAACCAGATTAGACCGAAAATGGAGTACAGCTGCTATATTTGGGCAGAAGCTGCCCAGTCTTCACTTTCCAGTATTTATAGAGTTCAGAAGAGTTGGAGAAGCTATTTTCCACCCTCAAATCTCTCTCTCACAAGCAGGATGTGAGAAGTCTCTCACTGTTCTATTGCTACTACCATGGAAAGTGCTCGCACAAACTACATTCCTGTAACAGAGAATCTGGTCAACTTCATAAGAGACTCGGAGTTGGTTATATTTGGCGCTGTAAGATCCAGGAGTTACATCCTCTTCCACAATGGGCTGTTGAGAGAAGACATTCTACTTAGGGTAGGTGGCACTGTTTGCATATGAACGATACTAGGCAGGTATTAGCCAATAGTGTGGGTCTGGGAGAGCTATATAACACCAGTTTTTTTTCTCAGTCAGGAGAGAAAGCAGACAAGACAAACACAATTCCTTGGTTCCACTAAGTCTAACCTTCACAACTAGGACCAACCATGCCACTTACATAGTAGCAAACCACTCCTATTCCATCAGCAAGAAGTAAGTTCCACTAAAATGACTTCCTTCCACAAACCACTGCTCTGTCGAACAGACTCCCAAGAGGATGTTTCCCCAATCACTACAATCTTAACCTGTTCAAGTCTAGAGTTAACCATTATCTTCTCTTTCTATCCATATAAACTACCCCTTAACATAACCCTCTACCTCAAGTGGCCCCCAAGCCTTTGTACATGGTGAATTTTACTATATATATATATATATATATATATATATATATATATATATATATATATTAGTAAAATAAATGAAAGCACAAATAGTATTCCACTGTATTAAAACTATAAAATTTCCATACAGGAGCAGTTATATTTAAAAAAAAAAAAAAAAAAAAAAAAAGGTTACTTAGAAATGTTATACAAACATAAAAAGTGTTCCACACGTTTACAGTAGTTAAAAAAATTATATATCTACTACTTTCACACAAATGTCTTTGAGAAAGGCATGAATCCATCTCTTCCTTTCCTCAGCTAGGAGTTTAAAAACAGCAGTGTAGACTGGGTATTCTAGCTTTGAGTGGCAAGACAATGTAGGAGGAGAAATCAGAATTCAAACGATAGAAAAGGCAACGGGAAACCCCTTTTACAATATTTCCCAAGAAGTTAGGGTAATTTACAAATAAAAAAACAGAATCTGTGAGAGCCACAGTTGCCTTGGACCTGAAGCGATAAGAATTTTTTTTTTCTTAAGCTTCTTTTGGAAACTTAAATTTGTCAATAAAACTAGCCTTCAATTTCTTAAATAAAGTAATTTCTTCTAATTTAAAAAGAAAGTTGACAAAAAAAAATTAAGAATATATTTAAAAATTAAATTATGTATTTCCTGACCTATTGTCGGTGTACCATGCAGGTGACCCGGCAGTGCCCATCTCCTCAACAAATAAAGTTTTTTGAAGTTGGCACAGTTTATATATATATATATATATATATATGATGTATGTATACTGTAGTGTTTACTAAGCACTGTAAACAGTATTTAAAAAAAGTATTTTTGGGGGCCTGATGGCTTCAGATCTTTCTCAACCACAACCGAAATTTAAAAGCTCGTTCCAGTTTTTGTCAATTTAATTACACAAGATGTCTAAAATGAAATAATTAAAAAAAATTAACGAAGAAAAATTAAACTAATCCAACAACTATAAAAACTATTAAAATAATTAAAAAGAAAAAAAAGAAAACAGACGTAATAAAACTAAAATAAACGATTTTTTTAATTAGCCAATTTGCATTGTTTAACTTTTTTTTGTCTAACATTTTGCATCCAACGTGATTTCGCTTACACAAGTTGATCTTAAACAAATAAAAGAAAAAAAAATGTGTGTATATGTACAAAATCTTTAAATAATATACATTTTTTTTTATTTCTTAAGATCTTTGCTGGAGAAAAAGAAAACGTTTTCAAATCGTTACAAAAACCATGTGTCCAGATTCTCTTGAATTTTTCTTACGACGAACACCAAGAAGTCTTTAGTTTGTTTTTTTGTTTTGTTTTTTTTACAGAAATATATTTCTCCTACTGATCAAGATTAATGAGAAAAAAAAGTTAACATTTATTTTGGAGAAAAGACAAAACAAAAAAGAGGGAAAGACCAAACGGACAAAGTATGAGTAACATTAACTACCGGTAAGCCATATTTTAAAAGCAATAGACGACACAGGAAATGAAATTTTTTCGAGGGCTTATGCTATAACAGACATAATAATCTAACAATTAAAAAAGATAAAAATTTAAAGATTAATAATTACTAAATAAAATAAATATCTTTATTGAATACTTACCATTTTGATGTATTCGATGTTTTAACGATACACACAATGATCCAGTTTATTTTGACCAACTCCTTCAATTACCTCCCCTTGAGTTCCAAAAAAAAAACACATGACCTTAACGCGGGATTTATTAAATTTATTTTATAACGTTTCGTTAAATCATGTGTTAATGAGTTTTATAACTCACAATATTAATTGAAATTTATATTATAAATATTGCAGAATTTTAGAATACGAATAAAAATTAATTTAAATAAATATTTGAATATTTATAAAGCACACAATCCAAAGATTATTCAAATTTATAATTACTAATTTAAATTTTGTGACTATGATTGATTATTAGCCTCATATTTGTTTTAAATAATGAGATTTGTAGAAAACGGTTTTACACAATATTTCCTACAAGCACAAATTTGTGCAAAAAGTTTGGTCACAATTCAAAAACTCATAAGAATCATTTTTCCCATAAAATACTAACTTGTTGGGAAATTTGTCCCGGCTTTCCCACATCAAAGGGTTGAGGTTAAAAAATTGCAACAAAATGCAGATAAAAACGGCAAGATTAGTGCAGACAAACTCTCTTTTTTAGGCGAACAAATAAAGAAAAACTCCTGCTCAGTGTGTAACAATTAAAAAACAAAGTGTTTATTTACATATACAGAAAAAAAGGGTAATGGAATAAAGACAATTAGGAGAGAAAGAAAAGGAAAAGAAAAAATCCTTTAAGGGAAGAAAAATGTTCATAACAGAAAAAAAAGCTTGCTCAAAATATTTCTCTGAACTCCTAAAAGTTCTTTAAGCAAGTACAATTTTGTTAATGGTTAGAAACACTCAGTTTTCTTCAAAGTTCCTGCAGAGTAGGAAAATGTTGGTAGATATAGAAATTCAACAATTGAGTGAGTTCATAGGTTGACGACAGAAGTCTTGTAGGTGAAAAGCAGCTTTCAACAGGTCTGTCATAGTAGGCCAAAGTTCGTCCTTGACAGCCCTTTAATAGGTAATTTAATCTTTGGTTGAAAGTGCTTCCGAAGTTGACTGGTGCTCTCTATCACCAACTTCACAGATGGTGGGCCAATGTTCTCACTGCCAAATAAGCGAAGACTCTACAAATTTATGGAGATTTGGGCAGCTCAGAAGAATGGGGGACTTTTCCTTCCAAAAATGTTATACACATTTCCTGGCTCCTCCATTGGTCAGAAAACACATTCTTATCTCTGATAAGAATCGAGGCTTTGGGAACTGGTTTTGAAAGTAATGAAAAAGGTTGGCATGAACAAGCTATGAGGTTTCCCCAGACTTTATGGCACCATGGAAAGAATAATAGTAGTGAAATTCCTTTGTATATTTTCCGGCTCCCTTGTTAGAAAATATATTCTTATCTCTAATAAGAATCAAGGCTTTGGGAGCCGGTTTTGAAAGTAAGAATAAAGGTTGGAGTGAGGATTGAAAAAATAGGCTAGAATGTGAACTTGTAAAATATTGTTCTCAAGTTCCAATAAACTGCCTAACTTCATCGACCACAGAAAATGGACTTCCTCAGTGAATTACTTCTATCCATGAATATATATGCATACACTCACACACATATAATATATATATATATATATATATATATATATATATATTATGAAATGGACAAAGTCCGACAATTATTTTAAGACATTTTTATGCTTATACATTCTTTTTTATAGATACAAATGGCGAAATCAGTAAAAGCACATTAGGCTATATGACGGTTCCATATAGGATACAGGTTCGATTCCTGTTGGAGGACGCATATTTTCTATGACAATTTCTCAGACATCCAGGCCGGTAAATGTTGTTAATACTGTTTATTATAAACAGAGCATTTACTTATACATACATATACATATATATATATATATATATATATATATATATATATATATATATATATAAAATATATAAAATTTCAGACTTACATTACACACACACACACACACTCACATCTATATATACATGGACATTGGTTTTCCAGAACTTTATTTCTCTAGACTCTTTACAAACTCTCTTCTGAGGCACTTCAAGGCAGTGTAATAGTTAGCAAGATTATCTTGTTAGAACATTTATGACTGAATAGTGAGTTCGATTCTCAGTGTGTGCCCCATACTTTCGGCCTTGTGCCACATCTAAGCTACGCTTGGAAAATTATTTATTAGCAATCTTGTCTCGCTAGAACATTTATGACTGAATAGTGAGTTCGATCCTCAGTGGGTGCCCCATACTTTCGGCCTTGTGCCACATCTAAGCTACGCTTAGAAAATCACTACAAACTCTCTTCTGAGAACACCTTTCTCTTTCACTTAATAGTCATCATTTTCAGTAAAATGACGAGACCTAGGTGCCAATCTTAAATTCATGAAGTTCAGGTATCAAACGGGAAAAGCTCATCCAAACAATTGTCATGAAAATATTTATAGAAAAGGTACAAGGCTGTAGTAAGATTAGGTAGTAGTAATACCATATGAAAATATACACTTTCCTTTTTACTAACAAAGAAAGCTCTCTCTCTCTCTCTCTCTCTCTCTCTCTCTCTTACACATTACTTCCTTTCCTTTCTTCTATTGTTCCTATCTATGGTAACTGACAGAACCTGGGCATAGCTCATGTGGATCAGTGAATGTCATAAACAAAATCAACCAATGACAACATGTCCCGCCAAAAATCAAACAGAAAACACGAATGTGTCAGCCCCAATAAAAAGAAGAAAAAAACCACATGCAAAAGCAGAAAAAGAAAAAGTGGGAGATTGGTTTGGTGTAGCAGTTCAAGACACAAGGGTTGGAGATTCCTTGGATGTTGTTTGACCGGACGTACAACTCCAGAAGAAAAAGAAGAAGAAAAGATGCATTCAACAAATTAATTTCTGTCAACCAAAAACACAACGACCCTTCATGAACTCTCAAAATCATAAAAAAGGACTATGACGATAGTCACCCACTTTAACCACTATAACCAAATGGAGTCAATAATAAAATGATACTATAGACAGTAAATTTGGCCTTTACTTATGTATAAGCCCAACCTTCATCTCTATATACCATAGGGCAATACATTATAGTGGTATGAATGTAAATGAGGTTGCCAGGTCAGAACCAGTAATGTGGCAGATTCTTCTTTGGATTTTGTCAAGAATCTCAAGATATGTAGCAGGAGCACCAGACTAGATGTGGTATCAATATTCAATGCACAAATAAATGGTAGTCCTATAAAGGTGCAGGATAGATTCTGGTGAGAAAAGTTGTCTAATTTTTATTATTACTAACATGATTTTATGGAGGTACGGTGGAATAACAGATAGCAGTACTGATTGAGAAATTGGAGAGCCAAGTTTGAATTCCAGTCAGGTTCATTACATTCACTAGCATGAAAATAACCTTGGAAAAGGTAAGAATCCATCTTTTCTTCCCCCCCAGCTATGGATAAATAGCAGGACAGACTGGGTCCTGTAGCCTTGGGTGGCAACTCATCTAGGAGAAGGATAACTCTGAATTCAAAACCAACCACTCCAACTATGGGTTAAGTAGCCTCACCAACCCACAACTAGTCAAGTGTGGACAGTACAGCTACACTCCTGAAGGCGTCATCAATCAGTGAGGGATTCCTCCAACAGGAGTGAGAAGCCTCCCGCTCACCTTGCCACCATCACCAACACCACCACCTCAATTTGGATTTGAAACACAATTTTGTCTTTAGGCTTTTTAAATATATTTTTGAACTTTGTATATACACATTGGGGTTAAAATTTTTTGAACTTTTCATTATAATTTCCCCCACCTCAAACAATTGCATTATATGGAGACTTCATAAAGAATTTGTAGCATTATGGAAATTCTCATGAGAAAGCTGAGTAAAAGAATAATGTTTTTAGTGAAAGAAATATTGTTAAATTTGGCTGATAATCATGTCAAATTAATTTAAATGATAGGATAAATGATGACCAGCCTTCTCTGTCCCTACATTAGGCCTCATATCTTATTTCCAATATTATAACATCAATAAATATATTTTCAACCATTCTAAGCTGAAAAAATGTACCATGTTAATTTACTATATGTTGACAAGGAATACAGTATTGAGTTTGTGGGATATCCCACACTTAGTTTCAACAAAACCTCATCAGGTGGTGCTGTCAAAAAACTATAAAACTGGGACACTTCTTGTCTTCTCCCTCTTTCTCTTGTTCCCTCCCAGTATGCTGGAGCGATGACACCAACCGGAACCTTCTCCCAAGCATGGGAATATCTTTCCCCTTAGTAACAGAAAACTTTCACACACACACACACACAGATGTACATGCATGTATCACCCACACAATTCCTAACTTTTAATATTTTTTTTGTTTACATGCATACTTGTGTATTTTCTTTCTTTTTCTCAGTTATATAAAAACAAAAATATAAAATATTGCCTTACTGAAATTCATTCTGTTTCCTTACACCCATCAGTGACATTTGCAAATATTGTTTGCCATTGCTTTTAGTCTAACTAGGAACAGTACCCACAAGATCAAGAATGTATACACAAATTTGTTCGTGATAGGTTTGTAAGTTTGTTACCTTTAGTTTTTAGAAGTCAGTCTCTCAAAACTATAAATGATTTTGGTTTCCCTTTTAGTTTTTAGAAGTCAGTCTCTCAAAACTATAAACAATTTTGGTTTCCCCTTTAGTTTTTAGAAGTTAATATGTCAAAACTATAAAATAAGATTTTTTTAATCATTTTACCCTAAGCAAGACAATAAAAAAACTATGACACAATAAAATACTAAGAATGAAAGAAACTAAGAAACATTATTGAAGAGAAAAGACTATAAACAAACAGAGCTAAAAAAAAACAACATTGTGATTGACGTTGCATTTAAATATTTGAAGATTGTAATTGGCAGGAAAGCAGAAAGCCTGAAGAGAATTCCACATGCAAAAAGTATGAGAGAAGAAACTATCAGAATAGAACTTAGTTAAATATTGCAATGTCAATGTCAATTTAGC